TGGTGACAGTTGTTTACCCCGTAATCACAGTAACAATATATTTATCTGCTTGATTATTCTGAGAAAACCGCGCGCTTGGTAATTTGTCGTTAAATGTAATATTTTAGGTATGTTCAGAACAAAACAGAGATTTATTAACTTTGATCGAAATATGATGGTTGTAAATAAAATAGTATACAAACCTCGGTAGGAAGTTTCATTCCTGTCTCGAGATCATAGCTAACCTCGACGCTTCGCGTCTCGGTGATCTAACTAATCTCACGACAGGAATGAAACTCTTCCCACCTCGGTGTGTAATATACTATTTTAAATCTCCTTATGTTGCTAAACTTTCCACGATTGTTTCATATATTAAACATTTTTCTTTTTTTTTACTCTATATTGTCGAATGTAGTTGCTTTAATCAGATAATATGTAACTTTTATTTTCTAAGGAAGAAATTATAGCAGAAGACGCATCATCCGAAAATAGAATCGTTTGTACTTTCTATTTATTTTTTGTTTAAGTCGTTCTGCCAATTCTAGTTCTTTTCTGTTGTTTACAGTTGATGATTTTCCTAGTTCCCGACGCAATCCAGTCACTTTTAAATCACTCAATCGTTTCAGTGCGATTCATATATAATGGTTCATTTACTGTTTGTGGTATTCGTCTCAATATGTTAAGCGGTTTATTTACTGGTTGAGGTATCCGTCTCAACATGTTTAAGTGGTTCATTTATAGTTTGAGGTGTACAGTATATTTTTTCTATGTCCCAGTACCAAAAATATACAAAATTTAAAAAATGAATTTAGAGGTAATTAATATAAAATAATTTATAAAATAAAACAAAGTTAAAACTTTTTTTAATTAGTCTTCATCCTGGATATGAACCCTGGACCTTTCACATGAAAACTCATTACTCTATATCTGCGCTAACAACACAAAGAACTTTTTTTTAATACTGATAATTAGATTGGTTTTAAATAGTTTTAATAAAATTTATTTGTAAATATAGACGAATATCTTGTGGAATACTATTATTTATCGATTCTTCACAAGTCACACAATTAGTTTGACAGAATTGTCACTTGTTTAAAAGTTAAAAAAATAATTATAGGACCGGTAATTAAGAATAAATAAGAATTTATATCCATTCAGTATAAAGCATTGGCCTACTTAAAGGATTAGAGCATCACCGGATTGGTCGGAAATGGCTCGTATTACGTTGCTATCTTTAAGAGATAGTTCCTCCTGGAACTCTTACGAAACTAAACCGAAATTATTGAATCTGTAACTGGATCCTCTTTTACAATTTCCAGTTGCATAGAAGTAACAGGGGTCTTCTCTGTAACCTGGACACTGGGAGAATGACTGCAGACCAATATTTGGACTCCAGTGTCTTGGAAGATTACTTTCACCATATTTTTAATGATTCTCCAATCTAGCTGGTTCTACTCAATCTTTGGCCTGAGTTTCTGTACATTGTACTTACGTACGTGCTCCCTCAGACTAAGTAATGCTTTTCATATAGCATGATAAGTCTATCGATCTTGAAAGATTTCCTTGTTACAAGTTTCAAGACTTTTCCATCAGGGGCTGGTAACTAACCTTAAAGTTCTGGCAATCGATTAAATTTCTACCGGAACACATCATATGCCAGACCTCGAGCGTCGTTGATACTGGCGGAAGTGCTATGGACCAGCGAGCAGTCTTTAGAAACCGTGAGCATATCTTGTTGTTGCTTGGTTGTAACACCATATGTTGCGTTTCCGGTACTTCCATATGCACCCATAAATTCTTTAAAGACAAGGTTAGGTGTTTCTTAGAGCTGGTTTACTTCTTCTTCCTCGTCATGGTCACCCTCAAATGGCGCCAGCCGGTTTTGGTGCGCTACCTTCTGTTTACCGTTCGGGATCTTGCTTATACGGTAAATGACATCATTAATTTCTTTCTTAATGAGGTGCGGACCTTCCCAAAACCTCTGGAGCTTTGGAGAATAACCCTTGTCTTTTTGAGTTATGGAGCCAGACTTTGTCGCCTTCCTTGAAATATCTTTCTGTGGCTTGGCTATGGTACCGCTTCTTCATCCAAATCATGCACGTCATCCATTTTTTTTTTCATAACTGGATCACAAAATCTCCAGGTTGGCATCCAAACTCAAGGTCGCACGGTTGTTTCAGCTCACTCCCGTACAGGGTTTTTGCTGGTGTTCGGCCTGTTGATTCATCTATATGCTATTGCGGGGAGTGAACTATATTGATCCCAGTCTCGCTGATGGTTGGAGTCTACGTTTGCCACGTATTTCCCAATAGTCGTAATTACTCGCTCTACCATGCCATCCGACTGTGGGTGCAATGCCGTAGTTCTGGTTTTCTTCATATCTAGTCGGTCACAAATTCCTCGGAAGAGCTCTGACTTTCAAAAATTCTGGCTTGGTCACTATGGGTCTTCAAGGGCACTTCAAAAGACTGATAAACTCCTTTATCAACACGTCTGCAACAGTTATGGCCTCTTGATTTGGAATGGGGCATACTACCACCCACTTTATGAAATAATCCATAACCACCATCATGTATTTATTACCATTCTCGATCATGGAGTAATATCTAAGACAATGCTCTCAAATGGGCCACCGACGTTTCATTGTTTTATGGGAGCCTTCCTTTTCCGTGGAGGACCATTACTAATTTCTTACAATAGTCCTTTTGGATCATCGAAACTGTTCATCCAGTAAAACCTTTCAGATATGCCCTCCTGATAGATTGTCGTGTAACTGACGAAGTACTTCGACTACTCTAGTCTTTGGAACCATCATCATTCTCTAGTAATTGCTTTAATAAGAATTCTTTCATAATAAAAGAGTCCCACTGAGCAAACTATGACTTAACCACTGGAGAAAGTTTTGATACTTCTTGCCAAGTAGGTCGACGATTTTCCTCTTTCTATTGTCTCATCTTCTTTAAAACGGGATCTTTTCTCTTGTTATTTCCTAAGTTTGACTGGGATCCACTCATCGTTGACTGCAGTTGTTCTTAGTGGTCCACTTGTTTTGGATTCTTGTGTGAGAGCACTCTGCTGAACACGGTCTTCTAGAAAGAGAATCGGCATTTCTGTGGCTTATTCCGGCTCTATGTTCGATCTTAGTCGTACTCTTGGAAGTCGTTCAATCCATTTGGCGATTTGACCCTCTGGAAATGGTTCGTATCACATTATTATACACACTTATTTATATTTATTTTATTTATAATAATATTCACATTTTTTGTCTTTTATTCAGATTTGTATTTTATTCACATTTGCCTTACATTCTAATTTATCCTTATATTCACAATTTGTCTTAGTCTTATATTCATATTTTGTCTTATGTTTACGTTTGTCAATAATTATTAGCAAAAGAAAAAAAAATACTTTTGTACGTGTTTGTGTTCCTCTGGAACCACTTTTCCAAAATTTGTTTAATTTTTTTCTAAACAATTAGAAAATCGTCAAAATAATCGAAATTTTCTTTTTTTTAAGGTAGTTCACTCGCGACAGTCGTACATAAAAATATCGCATAAAGGTGAATACCAATAGTTCGGAGATTCTCAATGCTAATCAATTTTATTTCTGTAAGAGACTGTACAAAACACATGTAAGTTTATACATATGGATATGTTATAATTTCCATAAAATTCATTCGGCAACCTCGTAAATATATGAATGGTTTGCTATAAAAATTTGTGACCCTCATAATAATTTTAAGGGTTTGTTTTGGTTCAAACAGAACCGCTGATTCCAGTTCTCAAATACAGTGGACGAATGAATTTTTCAAGAACACGTTGCGATGTTATAACCTCTTAGCTGATCGAGTGTTATTTTGGTACCACGCGTTGATTGGAGCGTATACAATTTTGCCAAGTTGTAATCATTTTACGCAACTACGCGTCGATTGCTTTAAAAAATATTTTTATTTTAAAAATCTATATCTTTTTACTAAGACGGTCAAAAAATTCAGCGTTTTTTTAGAAAATTTTATAACTTCTTGATTTACGTTATATTAGTTTTTAAAAAATATGGTAAGAACCGTTTTTGAGATATCTTGAAATAAATGCATTACTTGTGTACATGACAGGCTTCAAGAGTGTTAATTATGCACATTTTGATTGTTAATATCTCGTTTCACAGGCGGTCAAAAAAATTAATTTTTTTTAGTTACATAAAAGACACTGTCATTAACCTTATGTTTCAATTTTATTGAATTCTTAAGAAAAGCCGTTTTACGAGTGAACTACCTTAACTAAATCAAATTTTCGAAAAATGGCTCCGGAGAAACACCACAGATTTAACCTATAGGTAGATACATATTTTTTTGCCAGAAGTTCGTTTGATTATAGTTATTTCGTATCAGTTAGAAACAATTGCCAAAGTATATTCTTCTTTTAAAGCCATAAAAGAAACGTATAAATTTATAAAACCATTATAGATAATTAAATTTTGGTAAAAACGCAAAAACATCAATTACCTAATAGTTCTGAATTTTTTTCTTTATTTATTTCATGGTACTGTGAAGTTATTAATTTTTTTTTTTAAATAGAGCCCCCACACTATGTATTTTGTCTTAAAAAAAGTTAGCCGCTTTAAATACACATTCTAATAATAATTCTAATTTTTAAGAAAATTAAACAAAATGAGATCACACATCCATGAAATAAAACAAAATCTAAAATAAAATCATTTTAAAACTAAACTTAAAACCTGTTTTTGCATTTTTGGCAAAATTTTTTTTTGGGACATCTCGCTACTCTAAAAATATCTGACTAAGCAGGCCATTTTAGTTATATTACGGAAATAACAAACGCAAAATACAAATTTTCGTAAATAACTTTCCTTTTACATATTGAGGTTTTTTTATATTTTTTATTTACAAAAAAAAACATTAAATTAAAATCCATCGAAACGCAATCAACTCCCGACAAATCCATTAATTTATTTTATCGACAAAAATTATTTTTGACGGTTTAGTGGTAAATATAGAGTGTCAAACGAATTGACAATATTGCTATTTTTTAATTCCCTGTATATTTGAAATACACATTATTTCGAATGATTTAAATATCTTAAATATCTAAAATTATAAGTAAAGTAGGTTTTGCCACGTATATTATTTGAAATTTCGACTTGTTTTTTAGTTCCCAATTTTCTTCATTATTACATCGATTTGAGAATGATTTCTTAAACAATCTTATTTTTTTTATATAGTTGCATAAAATTTAATTTTTTTTTAAGTTGCGTTATTGATATTATCTTCAGCAACTGTTCTGATTTATTTCGAAAATATCTATCAAATCGTAGCTTTTATCGTTTTATAATTCATCTGGGATTAAATTAATTGCTATTAAAAAATGGAGGCCGTAAAAGACGCACGTAAGGCAGAGAGGAACTTGAATGATTAGAGCAGGATCAGACTAGTTAAAACTTGCTCGCATAACACTATGTACATTTCACTTTAAAGCAACCTGTCTTTTATTTTAAATTTTGTTTGTATTTATTTTTTAGAATTGGATTTAATCCCTCTTACAATAACTTTATCATTCTGCTTGCTTCTCAATCTCGAATATGGAATATTGATTGGAATAGCGGTAAATATTGTGTATGTACTCTACTCTTCTGCTCGACCAAAAATCGAAATAGAAGAAGTTAATACCAGTTTTTACCTAGTAAAATTCAAGACTGGCTTACATTATACCGCTTCGGAGTTTTTGCGAGAGCATATATTACAAAATTGCACTGCAGCTAAGAGTACTGTCATCATAGATGGTGAATATATTGGAAATATAGACGCTACGGTTGCCAAGGTATGTAGATGTAGTATCAAACTACAAATCTTCTACTTTTCATTTTCATCTGTTTCTAATTTATTTTTAAAGGAGGACTATTAATTGTGGTAGTAGATAAATGGTTAAACTCATTTCAAACAACCTAGGAATGTGCGTTATGTTTTAATGAAAGTAATTAATGAATTCGTTCAATTTATGCTAGAAAATGGAGATAAAAAAAGTAGAAAAAAAAGATAAACCAGACTCATAATAATACTCATAATAGCATCATTCGCGTTTATTTATGCATTTGAATTAATTTTCTAGAGTTTTCATGTGCTGCGGGACGAGCTCAATCTTAGAGACCAAAAATTGATATTCTGGAATTTCAAGAAATCTGTGATGAATACTTGTTTAGGAGTAAATGAGAATCTCAAAGATAATTTTAGGGAAGATAAATTGGATCAAATAATTGGTGCGTATGTCAAAAACTAGGTTCTAAATTTATTTTCAAATATTTATGTAATATTTATATATATTTTTTTAATTTCAGTTTCCTGATTGGAGGAATCACCATTGTTTTTAAATAATAATACGTTATTTGTCCTTTAAGATCTTGCTACATGGTATACGATGTCGTATAAATAAAAAAATAATAGAGTAAATCAAAAATTTATATCTAAAACATAGATATACGTCATAAACCTAAAAAAAAACACAATTAGAAGAACATTTACCTCAACAGTAAAAAAAAAATTGTAAAAAAAAATTAAATAATTTAAGTTTTCATTTAAAAAAAATGCGATTCCACTAATCATTTTCTGTATACAGTACAGCAAAGGTTTTCCTAACAAGTATTATCAGAGCATGTAGCCTGATCGTATCAATCAAAACAAAATTATCGAGATTGATAGTATCGTCATGTCATATACATTATTTTTATATTGTACATAGCTTTTATTTAAAAATATAATTAAAGAATGTTTTTTTAACAAGAGTTTCCTTCCATTTCTCACAGAAAATTTCGGAATAATATGCTGTTGCGGGGGAGGGGGGGTTGTCTCAATTTCAACATCCAAATGAGCAGTTCGAAGAAAGAAAAAGGACTTTGTGATAATGTTAATTAAAATAAACCAGGATTCGATGCAAAGTTTGGTGCAAATTGATAAATAAAACCATACAAAATTTATATTTAAAACCCCTTTATTTTTCATACCTTAAAATGTAACGCAATAATTTGCTAAGTATCTTACTTTTTTACCAAGATCTTGAGTCCCGCTCAAACGCGGATCGTTCATTTGCTAATATTATATTTAGCTTGATTATATCCTAGATATACATGGGATTGTATTTTCTTAGGTATTTATTTCAACGAGTTGTAGAGCAACGGAGTTAACGAACAGCGCCAATTCGCCATTTGGTTAACTTACTGTGTTGATGTTCACATATACTTTATGGTTCAAATCTAGTAGAATGGGTGGCTACAGTATAGGAGCCTAACTAACATTTGTCAGTTCACCAGTTGGTTAACTTACTATTAAATTTTACCATCTAGGTTTGCTTAGATATGTCTGTATAATTTACCCAAAATGATACGTCCCTGTATATTTCTAAAATATTGAAATGACCCAAATTCACCCATCGAAACACAGATGTCTAACTTAACTGTCTTTCGGGGTGAATACCCGAGGCCATTTGGTTTATTGGGTTATATAATATTTTGAAGCAAATGTCAGCACTTATTCAGACGAACTCGGGTGATATCTTAAATTAAGCTTTTCGATTAGACTCGCTATTGAAAATACAAACATTAGGTTCATCTAAACTATACATTATGTACTAATTTTATCTCGTTGTGACAGTCAATTGTGGGTACGTTGCAGCGTTCAGCGTTACCTTGCGTCGAGACGCCTAGCGTTGTGACGGAGAGGAAGGCATTTATTATGGTACTGCGTTGGAACGGATATAAGGTAGGAAATACTTTTTGAATGAAACGCAATTTGTTTAATTCCAGAATGATTCGAAATAACTTTTATCACAAGACAATTAACAGTGTTACCAACTTAGTGATATTAAAACCCTATAAAATAAACATTAACTAAATTGGTTTTATAGATTTGGTACATACATTAACAAAGCGTACGTGGTGCTGCGCGACGAAAGGTGTCGTCACGGGTATTATGAAGGATATATTTAGAAACGGCAGGCGTTGGGAAGTAGGGCGGTGGGACGTTTTTCGTCAGAACGCGTTAGCGTTCGGGAGATAGCTCGTCGGGATGTAGAAAGATAAGAAAGTAGGGCGGCGGTAGGTTGAGCGTCGGAAAGTGAAAACGTTCGGGAGATAGTCGTCGGCACGTAGAAAGGTAGGGAAGTAGGGCGGCGGAACGTAAAGGCGTTTAGGAGGTAGATCGTCGAGACGTAAAGACATAGGGAAGTAGAGCGGAGGCACCGTTGAGCGTCGAGACGTGAAAGCGTTCGGGAGGTGGGTCGTCGGGACGTAGAACTTCGGTAGAAGGTAGTGTAGTATAGGCGTCGGTTAGAAACGGCATCTATTTAGGAAAGGTATTGAATATAACTGAATCTGAAAAGCAACTTAATTAGACTAGACTTATAATAAATGAATCTCGAGTTCCTTAGGATTCTGTATTTATACCCGTTTTAATGACTTTGTCACGTCAATTTGTCGTAACTCCGGTGGGAATGAATTTGAGTGGATAAAAAGGGGTGATCGATTTATTACGTTCCTTGAGAAAATCTCGAAATTTTGTGTTGATATCATGTCGAAATGTTTTATTGGTTACTTCGTAAAAAGAAATGGAGGTTTTGGGTCGAATTTTCATGGGATTACTTTTTATCTTTTCTGGTTATTGTGCTTGTACATGTAATATTAGGTATCCCGCGAACAGAAATATTTTTATCTTAGATAGGATTTAATTATCTAAAAGATTTTTCGTAAAATGAATTTAATAAAAATGCAACTTTTCTTTATTAAAATGGAATTAATAAATTATGAAGGTACCTGGGCGAGGTAGGTTACACTGCCAAACACATTCCTTCACATCTAACTGCTGTAATATTTCTACGCTTGATTAGAAGTTACTGGTTTCAAGCCTTCTTGATTAGCTAAAGGAAGTCGACATTCTGACTTAACATACCCAGAGCTAAGCAATGTACGACGTTAAAGTACTCTTCACAATGAGTAGGTTTACAAATTACTCATAAGAATCAGAGTATGAGTACTTATATATAAATAAATCTCAAAGCAAATTAGTATTTTTGCAAATTGTATATACACGCGCATATTATCTTTTGACATATTTTCTTACATTTTCCTTCATGTATTGTCAAATTATTCGGAATTGCCTTAGTGTGTTGACGCAGTTGAGAACGAGATTTTTAAAATTAATGTATTTTTTTTAATTCTTCTAAGACAGACAGTTACAAATGGGCCATACTTAGGAGGTAAACCACCTAAAACTTTAGGTATTTTATCCACATCATTTTTAGTTGTTTAACTACATCAGCCAGTGTCTGAGCCATTGCTTCAATTTTACCAATATGAAGAGCTTTACTATCAGTCTCAGACATTCTATAATTGAAGTTTTTCTTTGATGTAACCTTATTGACAGCACAACGTTGTTCATGGATTAGCTTCATACGTGTCCACATTTATTTTGCTGTGAAACATGTCATGTGTGCCTGAAATTGGGGGAATTCCAATGAAGTGGAAATTAAATTAAATTGCGTTTAATTCCTCCCAACTGAGTGCGTCTTCGGGTGGTGGATAGGAGTACGGCCAGGATTTACATGGAGACATAAGTAGTGAGAGGGCCTAAAAACACTCAAAATATTTTGCAAAGGTTACCACCGACCAACTCCCCAAATCTAAGGTGCAAGGTAACGTGCCGAAGGATGAATTGTCGCAGGGACAGATGCAACACACTCTTGTATCAAGCCTTTCCGCCGTATGCGGGGCTCTGCGTCGGTTGACCTTTCCTTCTCTAGCTACTCGTGGGAACCATATGGATACTACAACTTAAAAACCTAAAGAGGCTGGACGTCAACGCTCACCTCCAGCAAAGAAGATTCGACAACAGAGTTCAACTCCCGCGCTCGAGGCTATACAGCGACGATAACCTCCAAAAAAAGGAGGATGGATGTCAACGCTCACTTCCTGCAAAGCAGGCTGGACAACAAAGTTCAGCTTTCGCACAGGAGGCTGGACAGCGACGCCTACCTCCAAAAAAGGAGGATGGACACCGTAGTGTACCTCCAACTTACAGTCCCCGGAGAGGCAAGAGGATCTCTGGGTCTGAAGCAAACAGGAGGAAGAGAGATAAGCTGCAGGCAGGCAGTGCTTCGGAAACCGCCACCCTCAGCAAACCCTTCACTCCAAACCAAAGCCTTTTAATCAATTTCTTAGGCAGCGAAGCTAGTTATGCCTCTACAAGAGGCCAGGAACACGACGCAACTAGGGACAAGAAATGGTCGCGAACTGACACCTCTTCCGAGGTAACGCCCCGGAAGGAGAAAACCCAGAGAGGACCACAAAGTTCTCTGTAGCCATAATAAACAAGGATAACCCTTACGGTAAGATAATTACCGAAAGAGAGATCCTTGTCAAAAAGACACTGATGGGAGAGCTGGACAAAACAATTTTGTTCGCTTCCTGCAGCAAAACCAAGCCACCCACATTCAGGTATTGGACCCACTCTGATTAAATCGTCAGAGTAACGTGCAACGATGACCTGACGTTAGAATAGCTAAAAACCAAGGTAACAATCTTGTAAAGATGGACGAGTTCACCAAAGCCTCTCTCTGGATACCAGGGGAAGCGTAAGCTGACATTGACGAGGAGAATGTGCTCAGGCGACTTGAGGGGAAAAACCTTAACTTGCACCTTCTCCTAATATAAAAGAAGCACCTCTTGGCGACTTTGTCAACTGCATTAAATCTGTAGACTGGCTCGCGAGCTAGGAGGTGCCTATCATTTTAGGAGGATGCACAAAGGGCCTAGGAGGCCTAAGTGCCGTTGGGTAACCCACCCTCCACACATTACAGATACAGAATTCCTCCCAAGTTTTACTTTCTTAAGAATTTTTTACAATGCAAGCTTGCCGTTAACCAGATCTATAACACCTTTAGCTCTAAAGATTAATTCTAACTGAAATTTCCACAGCTGGATATTTATTCCATCGAATTTTTGCATATGATAATATTTTGGCTTGTCCATCTTGAATAAAAACTTCAATCTTCTTCAAAAATAGTGTGAAGTTGAATATTGATATAACACGTCTTTCAAAAATGGAAATTCAGAGATAACAAATATTTATCCGAGTACAGGTTTAGTGTTTCTTCTAAATACCTTCTACTGCTGGGCCCATATCCTGCCCTACTCCTCATGCATTCTTCAATCTATTCTATGGTCTAAGTGGGATCCGAGCTGTGCGAATTCGGTCACCAGTAACCAGGATATCCCTGCTCGGGACATGCGATTAATGATTTGAATATCTTTCACAGCAACCAGCGCCCCAGATATATATCAAATTTCAACGAAATCTAAGAGAGAAATGTTTTAAATAATTCGGAAGAATTTTGAAAATATTGAAGATCTCCGATAGATTCATATATTCGGCTTACGTATACAATACAGCCTAGAGATATTGATAAAGACGTTTGTTGTTTAAAAATGGTAGTACATAAACCTTTCTTTTAACTATTCTTTTAAACATTCTAAATGAAATGAAAAATAAACTTATTTGGATATGAAAGGCTATTCAATTCAAAAGATGTGTGTTAAGAGGATTACGAAGACCATAATTTGTTAAATGCCTATTTTCATATTACAATGGTCTATTATTTCTAGTTCTTGATCCAACAATAAAGTGAAATAAAGCAAGTAGATCCTGTTAATTTATTAAATCCTTTAACAACTCATGTAAGAATAGTAAATC